AGTTTTACTGTAGATTAATTTAATTAATAAATTACCTGTTTTATGATTGTGTTTATGATGGTGCAAATTAATTTTGAAAGATTAGAATACTACTTATATTTTAGGTAATAACATTTATAAGTTTTAAAATGTAAACTATGCCATATAATAAGTACAAAAATTTAAAAACTGAAATACATATTACATTTAAAGTAATTATCAGAATATACAATATCTGAGAAAGAAAAGCCGATAGTGTATCAGGAAAATGCTTTAATCTTAATTTATAAATATTGCTTTCATGTAAAGTTTGAAAGTTATCAAGTTTAATATAAGTTACTATATCAAACTTTATATGAAAGCAACATTTATAAATTAAGATTAAAGCATTTTCCTGATACACTATTGGCTTTCCTTTTTCAGATACTAATTATTATATACTTTCAAAAATAATTACATAAATCCAATTTTATAATGCTAAAATTTTATTTTAAACGTCAAATTACTTATTAATCAATAAATTTTGAAAATAATATTTAAATTTTTTACCAAACAAAACAAAATTATTAAATATTAAATAATTACCATATTTCTAAATAATCAATTTAGAAATTAAATATCCTCTGGATAAATTTATTAATCATATAAAAGTAACCATAACAAGTGCCTTGTCAACCAGGAGTTGTTGGACCCGGGCTATGATATCACTCGCTTGGGCTACCAGTCCGTCATAAACGCTAATCTCTTTGGTCAGTCGTTTGTCGAGGACTTCTAACTGATCCCGACGTTTGAGATCATAACTCATGTCTATTTGCTTGCGGACAGTCGTATCCGTATCTACTAATCCTTGTCTGACGGCCTTAATATCAGTCACTATACTGTCGACAGTCCTGTCAAACGGTGTCGTCAATGAAGTTAACAACTGACCGGTAGTTTCGCTGCCATTGTTAGCCAATTGGTGCGCCTGTCGCCTGAATGCCACCACTTTTGAGCCCAGGTATGCCTCCAGTGCTTTTAACCACATCTCGTATGCCTTCCGCCGCATCTATCAGACTGTCCGCATAGTCCTCATAAAGAGGTAGTAAACCATTATTCAGTGTAAAGACAAACCACGAGTTGTATGACAAGAAAATGTCCGTCCGATTGGATACCAGCCCTCGTTTGCGATCCTGTGATTGGGACTGTGATCGTAAACATGAATTCAAACAGATACTTGCAACACTCCATGGATAACCTTCTCTACAAATGTACGGCGGAAAACGTAACATCGACTCCGGACTCAACAACACCTAGGACACAAAACAAGTCACCCCAAGATCGCCAACAAGAACCGGGATCTGCCCCAGAAATGACATCGAGGTCACGTCAGCCATTCCCAGACGTCTATACACAAACCGACGTCACGTCACATCGGCATCCAAATGGACGGTTCTCGTCAGCGCAACGCCAGCGCACAGACGGCCAATAAACAGACTATTAGCGAAGATTACGCAGCACTGGCGTCGAAGATCAGGGCCTCACTTGCGGCTAACTATACCGACGTCGACGTCCAGAAGTTCAACGATTACCTCAAATACGTCGCGCACTTGAAAGGTCAGGTCCGCATCTCACGCAAGCTTGAAGTCAAACGGGAGAACCTTTTGGGCGAACTGTCGGACATCGGAAGGGCTGAGCACTACACCATTAGCCCAAACATACCGTACGACGACATGGAAGGGCAGATAAAGGCGGTAAAACGCCGGAAGATAAAGGACTCATGTGTCGACGCGGAGACCACAGCACAAGCCCAACAAAACGCAGGCGATGAGGACAGCGAAGATAATATGGACGACAACGAGCTCAACGCGGAAGAGAACCGGATCTCAGCGCATCATCCGATTCGGACGCTTAAAGACGCCAATCCCCTGAGAACCTCAACACTGACGCCATATTACTATGCCTTAAGCGTCAATATAATTCTGATTGTTTTACTTTCTTTTCTTTGGCTTAAATAATTCAATTATAAAATCAAATTATAAACTATTATATTATCATTACTATTATTATTACTGTGTATTGTTTTATATGGAATCAAATAAATTTACCATCAGTAGGGGTCAGTCCTCTTACTGTTGGCCCAAGGAAAAAAAACCTAACCTAACCTTACCTAACCTAACATAACCTAACCAAACCTAACCCCTGAGCGTATGTTTTCACTGTTAGATTCAGAGTTGAATGCATTGACTGTAATATTGACGACAATATTGTCATCAAAAACACAACATTTTTATCGCTAAAGGATTGCATTGTTTTGCGCTTTCAATGAATCAATCATTTCGTGACAATTGATTGCATTTTGAGTGAAATTTATTAATTGGTTTCATCACGTGTTGGGAGTGAGAGTCAAGTCATTGGATCCCAAGAATGGCTCACAAGAAGACAAAGACTGAAAAGAATGTGACCACAGATGAGGTGAAAGGGAGTGGACAACAGGCATTAGCCATACATTCAAACATTGACTCAATTAGTGATAAAACACTAAAACCTTTGTTTCATTTCAATACCAATTATAGCCACAAATGTATGCTTCAGACTCTTTGGACCGATTCGGTGATCATTTGCTGGAAGTGTTGCTCTCATATCTGCCACTCGAACACCGATTCCGATGTCAATGTGTGTCCAAACAGTGGCAGCGATTGATATACGAGACCATCGATGAGATCACTATTGATTGGACTTTAATGCAGAAAATGTCGAAAACAAACTTTTTTAACAAAAGTTATTATGATTTCAAGAATTTGTCATTAATTATGAGAAAGTGTGCAAACATTGAGACCATTGACTGTCGATATTTGGAATCAAATGAGAGACAAGTGTTTGAAGCCATCGAAGAAATGCGAGACAAATGTCTGAATGTCCGACAAATTGACTGCAATTTTGATTCAATTGATGACAATTTAATGTATTATTTGTGTCAAACATTTGGACCAATGTTTAAACAAATTGTTTGTAACAATACATCTCTTAGAAACTGTTTGACACTTTGCCACAAATTATCTCATTTAATGATCCAAAGCTTGGATTCAGTGTTTGATGAGACGGATAACCATTGATTGGCGAATAATTTAACACAATTTGAGTTCACTTTCGACTCGCAGTTCACAACTGAAAAGTTTGTCAAATTCATGGCTAATAATATGACACTGAAAAGTGTTGTCATCGGAGGTATTACTCCTAACACTCAATCCCAAGAGACTGTCATTGCATTAATGAAACGATTGTCGGAATTACAAGAACTCCGAGAATTGCAACTATACTTCAATAATAATAATAATTGCCAATCCATTCAATACTCAATGTCTGAGCCTTTGATGGAAATTGGATTAAAGTGCGAGAAATTAAAGAGATTTACTCTTTCAGTACAATCACAAACACCACAACTGAATGTCCAGACATTGAATTGAATACAATTTATGAAACATTTAAAACGATTGGATTTGTGCCTTGAATTACCCAAAGAGGCACAAGTGATGACTGATTACCATATATTTGATTCACTGAAATGTTGGCCAAAATGAACACACCTTTCACTCAATTTATGGCAAATTTATTGCAAATTATTTCAAGAGATCGGCACAAATCTGCTGAATCTGCGGTCATTAGAGATCATTGAATCCAAAGCAGAGATAAATGTGTTTTGTTTGGACCGCATCTCAAGTCTCCCTAAACTGCAATCACTGGTCATAAAAAGCACTTCAGACATGAAACTCAATGAATCGGATGTAAAGGCATTTGCATTGAAAAGTAGTCCCAAATTGAAATGAATTAAAATAGGAGAAAAGCGTACCTGGCAATTTAAGTTTGAATACAACGCCAGACATATCTATGAATTACGAAATGTGTTGCCATTACTGTTAAATGATTGAATCGATAGCTCGGAGAATGTGTTCACAAAAATGTTTACCAATTATTTAATATATTCAAGGATTTAAGTAAATAATTAAAACAAATACCAGAAATATCTAAAACACTATTGATTTTGTTATATCGGTAATCATTTTCTGTACCTTACTATTGATTTCATTATTTCTAATAATGTATTCAAATTGTTTAATAAACAGTATTTTTATTTGGGTTATACTTACACTATATATACAGTACATTACATTATATATAATCATTTAAATACGATGTGTTGGGGCCAGTATGGGCTCACCCGACAAAACTATTAGACACGAGAACCCCGTGTTTTAATCAAATTTTACATTACAATATAAATATAATAAAGCATTCATTTAAATATATTGTATTTCTGATTATGTTTAAATTTATAATAAAAAGAATTTAAATATTCAAATATAGATAAATACTGTACTTGATCACTTGATATTAAGCTGATATTAAGAAATGAGTTGTATAATATAGTACCACATAAATTTATGATAGAAGTAAAATTACCAAGCTCAATTCTCTATACGTTTTCATCTAATTCAGGACAGTATTCAATAAATTCTTAACAAACCGACAAATCCAATGCCCACCCCTTTGGTAGTACACAAACACTTTCAATTACCACTTGCTTTCATACCGACTCATAGCCCCCTTTCCAATCTTATAGAGTACACCATGTACTTTGTAAATAGCTCTCAATTAGTGTCAATCTGTAAATGTGTTCAAATCGAGTGCATTATCTAAATCTCAGCCAATTTGCGATAAAAGGCTCAAATATACTTATGGCATACAAAGTACTGTAACTTTCAGTACAATACAGAATTTATTAATTAATAACAAGCACTGATTTTTCACTCCTTTTTCCTATATTTTATAACAAATTATTTTATATATAAACTCTACAATTATTGGCACAAATCGTTAGTCCCAACACTAGTCCTTACTTTAAAATATTTTTACTTCTATTCTAAATATGATCTTGTTAAAGAGTTTGTGTATAAGTTTGCTATTTGTGCAAACCCTGGTTGAATCCAAATGGGTTGGTCATGATGAAACTAGCAAGCAAAGTCTATTCGGATCATTTCAATTTAATGATACAGAAGCTTATTCTTTTGTATTACTCGGGATTACGGTTAGTATTTACCGTCAATTTTATAATTATTATAATTCTATTAATTAATTTTAATATTATTGTCAATATTTAGGGAAATTTGTCGCAAAAGAAGTTAATGCCAACACTTTTGTAAGCATTGAGTCTCATAACATTCATTTTATATTATTTATTTTAGTTTGTTCATGTTACATTTAATAACACATACATTAAAACGAAATAATTATAAATAGTTATTTTTATAATAAATAAATTGTAGACAAATACATACAATTTCTTACACAAAAATAATACCATTCCCATCGACAGTACCCTCTATAAGACGGGTCAGTTGCCGAAGAACTTCCAGATCGCGGGGTTCGCCCACAACGAGAACGCAACGGTGGCCTACATTCGGTCGACTGTCGACCCCTATGTGGTCAACACATTGAAGGACTCGCATGAGAAGCAACAGTACGAAGACTTCTGGAAAATAGTGACGTATAACTATGGTGACTCAACGGCCACCAAGGATTACGCACCCGTAGTGGACATTGTGGACAAATTTGAGACGGGTAAGACCAAAGGGCACCGAATCGTGTACTTCGCACTGCCGCCCGATATATTCGCCAATACTTCCGCAGCGCTCAAGTCTACCCTCCTGTCCAAGACGTAAGTCAAACACAAGGGGTCTTTCTATAAGTAGGTGCACCCCAACACAAATATTATACTGTACTAGAATTATTATGTCCCTGCTTATTTACCTATTGAATGGCCACATATTAATGTATAATTACTAAACACTTATCGCACGGAATGTCTATGAAATCAGTGGTTGGACTCGACTGGTGATAGAGAAGCCGTTCGGCAGAGACAGCGAGTCGTCAAAGGAGTTGTCGGACGCACTGAAGAGTCAGGGATGGACTGAGGACCAGATCTACCGCATCGACCACTATCTCGGCAAAGAGATGGTCCAGAATATACTGCCCATCCGTTTCGGGAACAACCAGTTGGAGCCCACGTGGAACCGACAATATATAGCTAACGTGGAGATCCTATTCAAGGAGCCGTTTGGCACTCAGGGTAGGGGCAAATACTTTGAAAAGTACGGTATTATCCGGGATGTCGTCCAAAATCATTTGCTTCAAGTGCTGACTCTCGTGGCGATGGAAAGGCCCGACACGTTAAGTGCTAGTGATATACGCGGACAAAAGGTTCGTAACAATAAATGTCATGTAAAACAGAGTATAGGCTTTCAGTTTTATAACTAGCTAATTTTATATTAATACAGTATTAACAGCAAACTATTGTATTAATATGGAAAATACTTAAAATGAAACGAGTAAATAATTTATAAATATCATATACAGTATACCTGAAAATATAAATTATTTTATGAAATATATTAATATAAAATTTATTCATAATTCAAATATGGGTTTCATATTTAATACACAAATATAATAGATAATTAAAAGTACAATAAATATTTTAATTATAGCTCAAACTCTTGCAAAGTATGGCTAACCTAAAGGTGTCGGACGTGGTGTTGGGTCAGTACGTGGGTAACCCTAAGGGCGTGGGAGAGGCACAGAAGGGGTACACCGATGACAAGGATGTACCCAAAAACTCGACGACATCCACATTCTCGGTGGTAGTGCTTCACATCGACAACGATCGCTGGAAAGGCGTTCCCTTTTTCATCCGCTCGGGAAAGGCTACCGATGAGAGTCGGGTGGAGGTTAGGGTTCAGTACAAGCCGTTGGATAAGGACTTGTTTGGCGGCCAATCCAAGCGCGATATGACTATATTCCGGATACAACCCAACGAAGCCGTGTACCAGAAGTTTAACGTTAAGAGACCCGGTATGGACAGTGACCTGATCCAAACGGAACTGGATCTCACTTATGCCTCACGATTCTACTTAAGTATACTATGAAATCTATTCTCTAGGTGTATTTTAGCTAGATAAACTTACTACAATACAATTCCCTAGACTTTATCTCCTTATTTGAATAACTATTGTCTTATTGAATGCTAATAACGAGTGTATGTCTGTCCACACAGAATGCCTACCTTCCGGATGCCTACGAGCGGCTACTAATGGATGTGTTGAACGGAATTCAGTCTAATTTCGTGGGAACGGATGAGTTGGCGGAGGCGTGGCGTGTGTTTACCCCCGCCCTCCACGCTATCGATGACGCCCAAGAGATGCCTCACGAGTATGTGTTCGGCGCACAGACTTTCAAAGAGGCCGACGATCTCGAGGCCAAGTATGGGCTCATCCGACAAAACAATTAGACAAATGAATGCGATTTGATTACAACTTTTAAATAAAGTATAATTAAATTACTTTGTCTTTCACTAATTATAACATATATTATACCGTACAGTAATTTCATTGAACTAAGCGTTATAATGTTGATTATGTTTGAAAACATTTTTAATACAAATTAATACATCAGATAATGTAATAAGTATGTGAACGCTACGTGTTTAAAAATACAAAATGAAATACAGATTATTAGTAATAGAAACACAACAATATTACCTAGTCATTATTTAAATATTATTGAAATTCACACAAATATAATAGGAAAATACTTTACATTAATTTCTGAACGTAATTTTGAGCATAAATTTTAAGTTTAATAAAACGATATTTAATAACTTAATCGATTCAATAATATTAATGACAATTATTTGGCAATTCATGAATCTGTCATTGAATTCACAGAATATGTCATCATTATTATAATAACGTATATTAATTGACTTCAATTTGGGACTGCTTTTGAACGCAAATGCCTTTATATCGGATTCATTGAGTTTCAAGTTTGAAGTGCTGTTAATCCTTAGTGATTGCAGATTATGTTCATGCGATTCAATCTCTCGAAACAGTTTGCGATTCATTTGCCATAAATCCAGTGAAAGGTGTGCTAATTGTGGCCAACATTTGATTGAATCAAATAAATGCCAATCAGTCACCACTTGCACTCCATCGGCTAAATATAGCCATAAATCCAATCGTTTTAAATGTTTCATAAATTGTATTCAATTCAATGTCTGGACGCAGAGTTGTGGTGTTTGTGACCACATCTCAAAGGAAAACCACTTGAGTTTGTGACACTTGAACCCAATTTCGACCAAAGGCTCAGACAATGAGTACTCAATCGGTTCGCTACTGAAACGAAGATCCAATTCTCGGAGTTCGCGTAATTGCGACAAACGATTCATTAATCCAATGACAGTCTCTTGGGATTCAATACCAGTATCGATATCATTGATTATAAGACATTTAAAGATTCATTATTAGCCATAAACTTATTGATGGTATTCAAAGAGATCTGCGGATCAAATTTGAACCCAAAATAAGTTAAATTCTTAACCAATCACTGGCTTTCTGTCGCATCAAACACTGAATCCAGTGTTTTAACCGTTAAATGAGATAATTTGTGGCAAAGTGTCCAATAATTTCTAAGAAAAGTCTTCTTGGTATCAATTCGTGTAAACATTGGACCAAACGTTTGACACAAATATAGCATCAAATTGTCATCAATTGCATCGAAATTGCATTTAATTTGTCGGACATTACGACAATTATCTCGCATATCATCGATCACATCAAACACAAGTTCTTCATCTGATTCCACGTCTCGACAATCAATTGTTTGCATTTTTCGACACTTTTTCATAATTGTGGACAAAATCTTGAGATCAGAATAATTTGTGTCAAAAAAGTTTGTTTTTGACATTTTGTTCAATAGTTTGTTATTAATGACGATCTCATCGATGGTGTCGTACAGACAACGGGCGAACTGTTTGGACACCACTTCAAGACGGAAGTGGTCTTCAAATGGCAAATAAGACAATAAGTGTTGACACAAATCATCACCGAATCGGTCCAAAGAGTCTGAAGCATACATTTGTGGCTATAATTGGTATTGAAATGAAACAAAGGTTTTAGTGTTTAATCACTAATTGAGTGAATGTTTGAATGTATGGCTAATACCTGTTGTCCACGAACTTTCACCTCATCTGTGGTCACATTCCTCTCAGTCTTTGCCTTCTTGTGAGCCATCCTTAGGAACTAATGAATCACTTCTTCGTATTAATAGTGAAATGCAATCAAAGTTAAGACCAAATGAACACAAAATGCAAACAATTGTCACGAAATTCACATAAAATTACAATTCATTCAAAACAACGAAAGCATTGAAACTTTGCTCATATTTTGTATGACTTTTCGTAAACTAATAACGTTTTCATTGCTTTCAAATTGGATTCACATTTAATTCATGTTTTAAACGAATTTATTAATTTAAAATGTTTTTTAAATTTATTTGTATGAATTTGTAAATTAATTAATACTTTATAACAGATAATAATTAGGTTTTTAATACAATAAGTTTACTAAAAATAAATTTACAAAAATATCTCGTAATTCATGTCATAATTGGCACTCATTTTCAGCACATTTTGTTTCAAATGTTTTGTTGTTTTGGTTTCCAATGAAAATTGATTTTATATTTGATTTACTAATCATTACAAGAGTTGACACTAATTTGGACGTCAATTAAGACACAAAACATTCATTGGATCCCAAGAATGGCTCACAAGAAGATCAAAGTTGTGACAAATGAGGGGAACTGTAGTCCACAACAGGTATTAGCCGTACATTCACACAATTATTCATTGATTTCATAAAACAATTGACTTTTGATTTTCACTCAAATATAGTCCCATATTATGTACGGAAAGGACTCTTTGGACCGATTCGGTGATGATTTGTGTCAACACTTATTGTCTTATCTGTCACTCTTCGAGCGCTTCCGATACTCGTGTCTCTCCAAACAGTGGCAACGAGTCATATACGAGACCATCGATGAGATCACTATTAATGACCATTTATTGTACAAAACGAGTGAAACAAACATTTTTGGCGAAAAATTTACTGATTATAAGTGTTTGCAACATATTATGAGAAAGTGTACAAACATTGAGGTCATTAACCTTCAAGATCTGGATGAAGAAGATTTTGAAGTGATCGATCAAATACGAGACAAATGTCTGAATGTCAGACACATTCACTGCTATATCGAGGCTGGAAGCGATGATTTGTTGCGATATTTGTGTCAACTCTTCGGTCCAATGATTACACGAATTGGATGTAATGAGAATGAGTCCGGTTTGAGGGTATGTCTGAACTTATGCCACAATTTGTCTCATCTGAGTGTTTGTGGTTTGGATGCAGTGTTTGATGAGTCGACTGACCAGTGTTTGGCTAAGGATTTGATTCAATTTAGGTGCAGTTTTGGTTCACAATATGTTACAAACAATATGTTTAGCACTTTTATGGCTAATAATAAATCATTGAAAAGTCTTAAAATTACTTTTTATGACATTATCATTGAATCTCAAGAGACTTTCAATGGATTAATGAATAGTTTATCGCAATTACAAGAACTCCGAGAATTGAAACTCCATTTCAGTGACGATTCAAAACCAATTGAGTACTCATTGTCTGAGCCTTTGGTCGAAATTGGCTTAAAGTGTCACAAATTGAAGAAATTTTGTCTCTCATTGGAGTCACAAACACTACAACTGAATGTCCAGACATTCAATTCAATACAATTCATGAAACATTTAAAACGATTGGAATTAAGCCTTGAATTACCCAAAGGTGTAAAAACGGTCACTAATTATCATTTATTTAATTCATTGAAATGTTGGCCCAAATTAACACACCTTTCACTCAAGTTATGGCAAATTAATCACAAATTGTTTCAAGAGATCGGTATACATTTGCCAAATCTGCAAATACTTCATATCCATGAATCACACGGAGCTGTAAATGCCTTTTGTTTGGATAGTATCGCAAGTCTTCGTAAACTGCAATCCCTATCCATTGGCAACCAAATAGTCATAAAACTAAAAGAATCGCATTTAAAGGCATTTGTGTTGAAAAGTAGTCCCAAATTGAAGTCAATCAATATTTGCTACTTTAAGAAAAAGTCACACTCTAATGGTGTAGAGTTTCAATACAATGACAAACAAATCTATGAAATGCGAAATATGTTGCCATTAAGTGATTGAATGAATTAAAAGTAAACCTTAAAATTATAATTATATTACCGTAATACTGTACTCTATTCATTTAAAACTTGGTGTTTTTAAATTTTGCTTTGTAATGTATTCAATTATTAACAATTATTCAAATAAAAACATTTTTTAATCATAAACTTGTTAACCAAAATTAAACCAATTTAGTAGGTCTTCATTTATAAGCATTTAATAATTTGTGTAACCAAAATTACCGAGTTTATTATTTAATAAAACAATGAAGTAATTGATTATTTCAAGTTCTATATTATATCCAATTCTAATTAAATCATCTAAAATATCAATAAAATTATATTTTATTATACTTGTGATCAAAAATTTGAAAATAAAGTTGATTTCTATTTGGAGACAATTTTGATTTAAATGCAAATTCAATTCAATTATCAATTCAGGGATATTAATAATTTTAATCTAAAGGTTAACGTTAAAAGTTGTTTAGCATTTAAATTTTATTTAATTAGTTGCCATGATATTGATAGTTTAAAAACGTAAAGGTATTTGTTAATTAATATATGAACTGGTACATTAATCAATAGCTTTTCTCATTTATAGACATGAATATAAAAATTACTCATTTCTATACAATTAATGTGTGAATCATTGCATTTTAAATAGATATTCATATCAAGTTTTGTAAAAAGCTATTTTAAATGTTCATATCTCATATCGATATTCATATCAAAAGCATAGTTATTGGTCACAAATGACTCAAAAATCACATTTTGTTGAATGCTTTCATTGATGTATTGAATAAATGAATATTTTGCACTAATTTTATAAAATCAGTAAAAGACGAGTAGAAAGAAGTGATTCATTGGATCCAAAGAATGGTTAACAAGAAGATAAAGACTCAGAAGGTTTTGACCACAGATGAGGTTATGGATAAGGTTTTGTCAATTGACTTAATTATTCATAATTATTAGGACTTTTGTTTGATTTTCACTCAAATATAGTCCAAAATGTATGCAAAAGACTCTTTGGACCGATTCGGAGATGATTTGATGGAAGTCTTATTGTCTTATTTACAACTAGAGGATCGGTTTTGTCATGAGTTAGTGTCTAAACAGTGGCAGAGATTAATATACGAGACCATCGATGGCATCGATATTAACACAAATCTATTGAACAAAATGATGAAAACAAATATTTTTGGCCAAAAATATATTCATTTCCAGAAT